TGTTATGTAGACAAGAATCTTATAGTCCCCAAACCCCATCATGTCCAAACATTCAATACAAGCACAGATATTCACCAAAAATAAATCTGGGTGAAGATATATATTTTCAAAATTATGCATTTTGTTATTTAATGTCTTGTGTAAGAGTTTCATATTGTAAATATTTTTTTTAGTGTAATAAGAGGATATCTCTTTCTTCTATTAACTATATAAAAGAAAGAAAAAAATTCTAAAAAACTTCTCAGTCAGTTTCAATTACTATTTTTAGAAACACATTATCACAAAATGTTTAGTATTAAAAGCCACAAGAGAAATTGTCTCCAGTTAATCGATGATGACGTCTTACTGTACATTTATTAACTTCAACTTGATTTATACTGTAAGCGATCTGGGATTGCAAAGGAAATATTTGTCGCAGATTACTTCCACAATGCAGAGAATAAATCACTGTAAGTTCAGACTCGAACATCGAAGGCAGAAAGAAATGCTGAAAATTTGATTCGCAGGTACTATCTCACAAATCACAATGCATGCAACTAGTCAAAAAAATAACTCACTCTCTAACAAACGCAGTAGCCAAAATATACAAACTTTTTCCCTTGATTGGAATACATGCCCCCCCCTTTTTTTTTTGGTAAGTAATTTTCTTTTTTCCACATTTTACATCGTAGGATACATGCGATGCGCTGTCACTTGTTTTGACGAGGTAAGTCGCCATTTTCCTTCGCTATACTCTCCCCTCTGCTCTCATTATCACAAATTGAACAGCTTGGGGCAGTTCTCTTTATCCTGGTGCTTCGTCATAATGGAATTATCTCCCTTACATATGTCAGAGAGTCGTCTCCTGAGGAGTCATCAGGCGTATCTAGAGTTTACAGAAACTCTGCATCTGTGGAAGCATCGGATTTGCAGATCTCAATTATGCCATCACTGTCAGATGATGAACCATCATCAGATTCGCTTGGCAATGTATCAGAATCAATGAAAAGGTGAAGATCTTTTACATTTTCTGACCACTGCCTTGACGGCTGCTTTGGATGTCATAGGGTAAACTCGTATCACAAAATACAGTGTTCGCCTGATGCCAGGATGTCCACTCTGGCAGTGTATGGCACGTATCTGATCAGGAGAGGTTTCATTCACCATGGAAGCATCGGGCGTGTTGGTTCGATTTCCTTCTTGATCACATCATACCATAGTTGCGGTACTCTGATGAGCTTATTCGCTTGATTCTCACTCAATGTTACTAAACTTATCGTGATCAAGAAGTTATACTCTTGAATCAGCTTTTCAAGAGTACTCAATGCCTCCGGATCAGCATCTTACTCGCCACCTTAGTTTGTATTTTGGCTCTGCCAGTGAGCATGTTTGATACCCACTGGTGCACACACGTGGAGTCCGTGAAGAGGTGTAGCTCTGTTGCGCCCCACTGTAGTGCTAAATTGACACCCTTCAGAATAGCATTCAATTCTGATAAATTGATATGTTGGGCATCCTTCACAGACCGCAGCCAACATGCATCTTTTACAATGCTTCCGTCAACCTCCAATGAAACCCCTGTGGTGAGAAAACTTGCATCGACCCATGCCTCATAAGCATGTCTGCTTGTGTACCACTTACCGTGTGCAGGGTCATTCTGGCATATTCTTTCTGCTATGTCCTCAGTCATGTTCTTAAGGGGAGCATCTGTCACTTCATTGTCCCAGCCAGATGTGATTGATACTATCCTGCGTTTTACAAATGATGCAGCAACACAAAGCCACCCACACACAGGAACGTGACCCACCAGTTTTCTACACCACGAGAAGACATTACGTCGTGTGAGGACCTCAGGAACTGATAGAATGCCATTTTCACATTTCCACTTAAGCATGTTGTTATCTTGCTTGACATGCAAACCCAGCACACAAGTGCTGTCCCGTAGCCACTCCAGATCCTTGCATGTCAAACCAAACACAGCCAAGTGCTCCTTCATGCAAGCTGCTGAAATTATGCTCTCGTCAACATAAATATCATCAATATATGATGAGGTTGCCTGTTGAACTGACTCATCTTTTGACAACGTGGCGTCCACAATGGCCTTCATTATGGCTGGTGCAACATTCAACCCGAAACCCATTTGGGTCAAGCAATATCTTCACCCCTTGAAGATTACAGTTTGAAAGGGCCAAAGTGACTTATGGATATATACTTGTAGATAGGCCTGCTGTAAGTCAAGGATAGCAACATCCGGTCCTTTTTTTATGCCACTCCCTCAGTTTCTGTGCGCACACATCAGCATTGGCTGCGTGTGTGTTGAGACACTCATTCAGCTCTCGATAGTCTAATACTGGCCGCACTTTATTTTTGTTTTTCTGCACTACCGCCATCAACGGAATTAAACATTTTGGAGAACCAAGTTCCTTTTCAGGATAAGGCTGCAACCAACCATTATCAAGCCAGGTCTGCAGCTCACAATCATATTCCTCCTTGACTCTCATTGGTATTGGGTACTTGGGCATCCAATTTCGTAAACTCTCTGGTGATTGACCACCAGACCACTTCCATGATGCGACCCATATCTTCCAGTTTGGGTCAAATTCGGCACAGAAATCAGGTTCTTCTATTTTAATAGCAATGCAACAGACTATCCCACACTTGGAAACCGTACATCGTCACACTCTGCGTCGAACACAAGCTACAAGTCAAAACCCAATAGATCTCTATCCACTACCAAGACTTTGATTTTGAGGGGGTTTGCATTGTCTACGTTAAACTTAATACTTCCAACTCCGCAACATTTGAGAGTATTTCCGTTTACGGTGAGTACATTCACCCCTGTCATCCGCCAGGATTGACAGGCTGATTTACTCACGAGTGTCTGTGAGCAGCCAGTGTCCACCAGTGCCACTCTCTTAATTCCGTTCATGTAAATACCCAAGACGGGTAGCACTTCATTCATAACTTGCTAAGGGAAGAGACTGGTGCTGATGTCTTGTCCCCTTCCTCTTTTCCCTGGACACAATGAAGCAATGTGGCCTACTTCTTGACACCGGAAGCAGCACATTGTTGTGCATGACCTGCATGGCTGACAGGCATCATCTCGTCAAACTGGGCAGTCCCTGGAAAGATGATTTCAGCCAGAGCATTGATAGCATCACATACCCTCCTGATGTTTCACATTTGGATGTTTATCAGCCTTGCATGGTGAAATGGTAGCCGCAACCATTTCCTCAGTTGCAATTTTGATCTTTCATTATGGCCAAACAGTTGGTTTGTATTCATGTCTTCCATCCTGGAAGATGCACGCTGCAGTTACTTGACGTGCGCTGGTAACCCTGCTATGAACCCACATGCTAGTCCTTGCTCGGATATCCCACCAAATAGACCTGCTAGCTTCTTCAAGTCAGCTAGAAACATGCTGATGGATTCGTCTGGGCACAGTCAGTGTTCCGCGAACTACTTGTAAGTCAAGAAACGATCTGGTGCAAAGGCAATCTGCAGGGCTCATTTTATCTACTCAACATTTGATTTTTGCTTTGAGTTTAACTGTTGGTAAACAGCAAATGCTCTGCCTGTTAACCTCAGAGGAAGAACACATTCAACCTTGTTAATTCCACACAGGTCACAAACAAGTTCTGCCTTCTCAGTCCATTCAGTAACTGCTTGTCCGGTCACTGAACCATCAAACTTGGGTATCAATTGACTTCAAATATCTTGTCTGTCATAGTGCTGAAATAGCTTGTAAGCGATCTGGGATTGCAAAGGAAATATTTGTCACAGATTACTTCCACAATGCAGAGAATAAATCACTAAGTTCAGACTTGAACATTGGGGGCAGAAAGAAATGCCAAAAACTCGATTCGCAGGTACTATCTCACAAGTTGCAATACACACAATTAGTCAGAAAAATAACTCGCTCTCCAACAAACGCAGTAGCCAAAATACCCACTTTTTCCCTTGATACAAGAACAACAGCTGAGCATTTTTTCCATTCCTTGGCAGCTGGGAGAGGTCGCCCAATTTTTGCATATCAAAATACTTTTATAGCTACTTCTGCTTGTTTTTTTAATTTAAATATTCCATCTTCAGCATGTCATGCGGAATATGTGCTCTGTTTTTTTTGGTAAGTAATTTTCTTTGGCCACATTTTCAATCGTAGGATACACGCAATACGCAGTTGCTTGGTTTGATGAGGTAAGTCGCTGTTTTCTTCGCTATATATACTAAAACTAGTAAAAGGATAAAATTCTACATTTATTTTGGCTAATAGTATTATTAATCTTATTTGGTATTATTCAGACACTATCTACTGCATAATGAAATTATATATTACTCATATTCATTTTTCTTTTCTTTCTTGCTACCTATCCAACAGCAACTTGTATCATTAATCTTTCTATCAGTTGAAATTTGAAAGAACTGAATTATAGAATATTCATTCCTATGGTTATTTTATATTCTGGTTTGAGGGCCCTGTTCTTGTGATACAAACTATCAATATTGTACTTTTTTCTCAGTCCTGAAGCTTACAAGGTTTTGGGTTACAAACAAGAATAAACAAGAAAACTAAACTTATAGCCTAATAAAAATTGAAAACTGGTCTGGTTGAAAATTATGGTAAACTTAAATTTGAATAGAAATTGATTCTTGGTATATCTTCACATGGGTAACTTCCTTCTGCTTTATCTCTTAATCCTTTGTCTTCTTGCTTCACTTGTCTACTTTATAATTCTTTTCGCTGAAATAACTTATAGCATTTGTTCCAAATTATTATATTTTTTATGTTCTTATTTGGCATCTGTATTACTCTTTAGAAATAGGAAAAGTTACTTCTAGTTTTAATGTTCTGAAGATGATGTTAATAAATATCAAAATATTAACAAAATCATCCACAACTCTTGTTAGTTGAATATTGATTACATAAAACAAATATATTTTAAAGTGACTTTTTTTTTTTCTTTTTTTTTTTAATGTATATGTACTACAATTTTATTTTTTATTTTCTCTGTATTTTTTAGAAACTCAATTTGGACATTACTGATGACCAGCTAGAAGAAATGACTGCAAATCTTGAGAATATAGATTTTGAACATGCTACTCAAGAAGAGAAACGTGTACGTCATGATGTTATGGCACATATTCATACATTTGCCATTTGTTGCCCTAAAGCAGCTCCTATTATCCATTTGGGAGCCACATCTGCTTATGTTGGAGACAATACTGTGAGTACAACTCATTTCAGTTGATTTGTTTCTTCAGTATATACAGAATATTGAAATCTGCTTGGGAATTAAATTTATACAGTCCAATGATTTTCTAAATGTAAGACTCTAAAAGAAAAAGGAAAACTAATTTTTAAGATTTTTATCATGAGATTTTCTTAATGTTTTTAAATATTTTATGTAAGCAGTGTAAATATTTTTTATAAAATAGGGATAACCTTATAGTTAAGTAAAAAAAAATTAATTTATGCTGTGCAAATTTCTTAAATGATTAATTTTCATTATTATTTAAATTTCATGTTTGTTGTTTAGGATCTTGACTGTCAAATCATTGTGTTCTAAGCAGTGTGGAATGGACAGAATAGCCTGTAACAAAACTGAAACTCTCATCTCATATCCTGAGAGCCTGTCTATTTGTGTTCAAATCAATATTTAGTTAGTGGTTCCCAACTGGAGTGAATTCTCCTTTGCTTTGGATGGAATTTTAGAGTTTTAGGAATTTGAACTACAGATTTATAAATATCAATAATTTTAAAATATGCTGAAAAGGATATATGAACAAAAGACATTGAAAACTATTGGTATACAAGTTTAAATCTTACCAGATTACTTTTTGATCATGATCTTTATATTAAGGATTGTAAAATGCAGCAATAAATATGAAAGAAAAAAAGTAAAATTAATAAAGAAATGTACCTTATTGTTGTGTTAATGTATATTATGTGTCAATTTTTAATATGTATTTTTATAATTAGTAGAAAATGGTATAATTTTTTTCTTAATTACTGAAAACATTCAATAAAGCAATTTTTTTTTGTTTTTGTTGGTGATAAATATTTCTAATTAAAGATCGTTACTTAAAAAAACAAACTCAGCCATTCTTTACATTGAGCACCATTATTGCAAATATATACAAAACTGAAAACTTAATTGGATCTGATAAAATTTAAACCTTACAATTACATTTTGTTTTAGTTTATGCCATTTGTATGAAAGTATTTTGTAAGCTATAAAAATGTAAAAAGCATTTCAAAATACCTTGAACTGATGCAGTGAACAAATCCAAATTTTATTCAGTGCCTCTTAATTCTGTAGAAAAGCTTGGATATATTTTTAGTTTTTTTTTTTTTTTATCAATTCATAATTAATAGAAACTTATGATTTAAATAAAATGTTTAGTAAATTTATAAATAAAAGGATCATTCTTTCTAATCTAATTAATTGGCCTGTAATTGAAAAAATTGCTCCAGATTTGCTAATTCAAATTCATCCATTGTTTGATTTGTCAAAAAATTTGGTCCAAATAGATTGGGATAACTTGCTTTACTATTTGGTTATTGAAGACAGATACAAACTTTTTATATTTTAATATTAACTACCAGTATTAATTGTATCATAAACACTATTTGCAAAGCTAGGCAAGTTGTATAAGTTACTAAGATTATATTAGTTACTGAAGTTCAGTTCTGGTTATTTAGATGAAAAATTGGTGCTAAACATTTTATGAATACGTTTCAATTTTTCATAATTTTTTTTTTTTTTTTTTTTTTTTTTTTCAGGATTTGATTGTTCTTAGAGATGGATTTGATATCATACTTCCCAAGGTAAGTTTTTTTTTTTTTTTTTTTTTTTACTTATTCTTTCATATTATAACCATCCAATTGTTAATTGAGATTGTCTACTATTCTGAATAAGGGTTGTTATCAACAACTGTAGGTCTGAAGTTTAAATTGCACTTTGTTAGCAAATATCAAATTAGGAAATATATAAAGATTAATGAAATCATAAAGAAATAGATTGACAATATGACCAGAATTGATTTGACAAGAGTAGAAAATGTGTTGTAGCCAATGTTTGACATCCAAATACTATGGGAATTAGTTTTATAATGGCTAAAATTAATAAAATTTTTTCTGCTGTTTATAATTTAATTTTACAACAGAAAATGTTAACCTTGAAAAGCAACTTTGAATTTAATAACTGAAAATACCTTTCCTATTTAGGAAATGTCATTGGTAATTTTTTTTCTTTAATTTGAGATTTGACAAGAATTTATTTATCTGAAATGATCAAGTCAAAAGATGAGTATTTTTAAAAACCAGATGCGATAATATAAAAATTAATTGGAATAATTTTCATTTAGTAAATGCATAATTATTAATTTCTTATTGTTTGTAAATAAGGTTACTTCTCGTCTTTACAAAATGTATAAATGGATTATGAGTAAGTTCTTTTATGTAATATCTGCAAAATTAATATTTTCTGATATCAGGCTTTAATATATAATTGACTCTAAAATACAAATCTATGAATTTAACATTTTTTTTAAATGTTTTCATTGAAGAGTTGTCTCTCTCCGAGAATCATTTTAGGTATCAAGTTTACATTTTACTTTCACTGGCTATTCATTTTGGGTGATGGCGGAAATAACTTGGTTTAAGTGATGCTTTCAATGCAAATTCGATTCTTCATAATCTTTATTTCTAAGGATTTTTATTAAAAATTCTAGCAATGAGATTATTAAAAAAAATTAAAATTATCTGTTGGAAATTGGTTTTTACTTAACATGTTAAATTTATTTTTTTGTAATGTATCTGATGATCAATATCGAATTATTTATTTATTAGCATTTTTTTTATTCTTGTTACTGTGCAATGCACAATGAAATTGGACATCACTCCCCAGGTGTGCACACCCACCCACACAGAAAAAAAAACATGCACAGCATTGAATGAAGAAAAGTAATGTTTACAAATAAATTTTATTTATTCACACATATAATTCTCATCACTACCTTTTTATTTTAATCAGCTTGCACGTTGCATTCATAGATTAGTGAAGTTTGCTGAGGAGCACAAAAGTCTCCCTTGTTTGGGCTACACACATTTACAGTAAGTACCAATGTTTCTAAATTCTTTAGTATTGGTATACATTTTGTTTTAGAGTATAAACATATTTTTCCTTGTTTTAAGATAAAAATATATATGTTAATTTTTAGTTACTTAATCAATTTGCTATAATACATTTTTAACATTCCCATGACAAAGAAGCCAAAAAGTGGTTGAAGGAAATAGTTTAACTACCATTTTTTAAAACTTGAATATAACCAAGAAAAATGTTTCATATCATAGAAGTTACTTTCAAGATTTTCGTCTTTTTAGTAACCAGAAAAAAAAATGATTTTTTTTTTTTTTTTTAAAAAAACATTTTAGTTATAAAGATGTTTGACTTTCAAAGAATTAGTTTACTGCTACAATGTGGTAAACCATTTTGTGCATTTTTTTCTTACCTGTGTGAAATACCAAAACTTTCATAGTACTTTTGCTTTTTTTTACTTCTGATTAAATAAAGGTGCATTTTAGTTTTATATTGTTCATGAGTTGGATTCAGCTTAAATAATCCTAAGTACAAAAACTGCTTATGGATAAATAAGAACAAAAAAGCTTTAGGATATAGACTCTATGATAATCTTTCAAAGATAACCTACAAAATAGTGAATTTCCTGCTTCTACAAAATCGTCCTAGTTCTTGTGTAAGATCTTATCAATTCATCTTCACTTAACAAAGGTTTGTGTAGAAAGCTTCTTGGCAATTTTATCTTTTACCATTTAAAATTGATTTTAAATCTTGCTATTTTCTAGACCAGCACAGCTGACGACAGTGGGTAAACGAGCATGTCTGTGGATCCAAGACTTGCTGATGGATCTTCGTAACCTAGAAAGATCCAGAAATGATCTTAGATTCCGTGGGGTTAAAGGAACCACAGGAACGCAGGCCAGCTTCTTGGAACTGTTCAATGGTGATGAAGAGAAGGTGAACAATTATGATTTTCATATTAAGTATCATTATATTAAAAAATATTGTAGCTGAGATAATGTATGGAAAAATCCTCTACCCCACTTTTTTTTATTATGAATTTATAAGAAATAGCAAAAGAACACAATGCTGCAAATTTTCTTACTTCTCTTCTAACATATAGACAATTTTTTACTTTTTTGTTAATTCACAAGTTATTATTTTAATAATACATGGCAATTTATTGCCATGTACTTTTGCTCAAAGTTATTAAATTAATATCAGTTTGTTTCTATACAACTATTTAATAAAAAGTATGTTTGTCTAGGATGAAATTGACAAAAGAATCTCCTGTAAAGTTGATGTTACTTATTATGACTGTTTCTTTTAGGCATTTTATTGTGCATATACTAATAATTGAATTATTTTACTTTTTCCTCTCCCTTCAATAGCTTTTTTTCTGGAAGGTTTTCATAATTCACTTATAAATCTTTGTTATAATGAAAACATGGATAATTTGTTAAAAACTTGGTTTCCAGAAGTTAGCTCTTATTTAAGTGAATACACTATAACAGCTTTCTAAAAACTATTTAGAATAAGAATAGATTTTTTTATTCCTTTTTTTTTCTGAAACAAGGCTTAACACAAAATATCTATATATTAATATGCTTGGTGTTATATCTCTACCCACTCAAAACCCCACCCCCCCACACTTTACACTTAGCAAACCATCTTTCTTTCCATCTCTCTAATAATATAATACATTTACTCCTCCCTCTCGCTTTTAGTTTGTCATAGTAGTGACTGACTACAAGAACAATTAGATCAGACAGGCTAACGACCTAGTAACACCTCCAGGCAAGAGCTAAAAACAGATTCTTACATTTGCACAGAATCATGTGATCAAGTACAAAATATTAAGTGGGAAAATATAGACAGCAATCAGTTATAATCTGAGTCTTATGCAAGTAACACCTCTTTTTATTTGTTATTGTCAAGCAAAAAAATCGCACAACGACAAGTTCCAATTCAACTCAATACACTATGCTGCTTATATCAAATGCATCAGTGAATTACTAAGACAGGCATGTGTAACTCACTCAATTGGATGTAGGCTACAACTTATACAGCACTGAATCTTCCTACTTGAACAACAAATTTTACATTGCTGAATATGTGAAGAAGAGTCAACAACTAGCTCATAACATTGAAGAAAGAACAATATATCAAAAGATGTAGCTGCTCTAGCAAAAAGAACTGAACTGAAAGTAAAAAGAACAAAGAGAAATATAAAACAAGAAAGAGAGAGAAAAGGGAAAAGATAAAACCCTATTTTATTTCAGGAAAAAGACTGAAGCTAAGGGATTGTTTTGACTTACCATCTCAGACATATAACGCATACATCTTTCCTCGCAGAAAAGTATAGTACACACCTTTCCCTGCATTCCCTTGGATTAATATTTTCAGGTGTCATCTCGTTATAATTAAATCTCATTAATTTGTATATTGGTGTTTGTTGTTCGTTACTGTTGGTCTTTCATGTATTTGACTCTGTGAAGAATCTATCCACTATGGAGTGGGAAACCTGGTCATATCCTTATCATATCAGTTGTTTTTTTTTTTTTTTAAATCTTTCCTTTTTAAATTTTGTGCTTTGGCTACAAACATAACTCTTGGTCAAGAGGCAAATGATAAGAGAGAGGGATGTAGAGGCAGAGAGGGATTGGAGAAGGGGGTCATCTTAGATAAAAGCAGTTATTTGTAGTGAGAGGTTAAATCATGTTTCATGACCTAACAATCTGTGGGGCCATTTCGTTATTTTTAGGAGAAACTGTCACTTTTCTTATAACTATCTGGGAATGTTCATGGGTTGAAAAGTACAGAGGGCAACATTAAAGAAATTATTAGTAAATCTCTGTAATTTAAAGGGGTCCTGCTTCTTACAATGATTAAGACTACATGACTGAATTTAGAAAAAAAGCATTTTGTAACTGTTTGATGTTGACCTTTCAGTTAATACTGAATAAAATAAATTGTGAATGTTTGTCATTATAAAGAAATGAAAACTAATAATAATAATAAAACATGAACACACACAAACACTTACACACACACATATATATATATATATATATATATATATATATATATAATAAATCAGTGGTGACTCTGGGGGTTGGGCTTGTCAGGCTGAGTGAGTCAATATTCAAAGCAACAAAAATTTTTCGTAGAACATAATTTTTAATCTTGGCTTCAGCTGTATTCAAAATGATTTGTTTTAACTTTGTGCCTCAAAATATTGACTGAAATACATTTTGTTGATATTGTTCATAATAAAGAAGAAAGTTAAAAAAGAATGAAATAAAATTGATGTGGCTAGTCAGGTTGCATTCGCAATGTACTTTTTGCTTTAATTTTATAAATCTTTTAAAAATATCTAATGAATTGAATACCCTGTTTTTCAAAGAAAACATTTTTATTTCAACTTATTGTTTTCAAAAGTCAATTTATTCTATACGGTATAAGGATTTTTAGCACAATGTATCAATTGAAAAAGGGCAAATTAAATTTAGCCTGACTTGAATGCGGGGAAAATCAAAGAAAGTAGCAGTTTTAACTCTTCGACTGGAGGGTTGGGATAGTGTTGAGGAAATATGATATCGGTCAACTATTCTTATATCTACCATAAGAACCGGGCTATAAAACAATAAAAAATGGAAAGGGGACAATAAACAGACAAACATATCAGACTTTGTCCTAACTCTTTTTTTTCTTACATGCCCGCTAATTTTTTTAAATAAATGTTTGTTATAGAATTATTACAATTAATATTAAAATACCAAAATGTGTTTTTTTTTTTTTTTTTTTTTTTAATTTCATGTACAGAGATTTTTAAAAATGACATATTTTAGTTAGATGATAAAATGTTTCATTTACTCTAAGTTATACCAATAGTAGATTTTGTTAAAGATTGTAGTGAGTCCAATAAATATTGATGACCTAGAGTCACCACTGATATTATATATATAATGTATGTGTCTGTTATTGTACACACTTCGTAATGTTTGAAGCAATATTGGATTAAAAATTGGAGATATATATAAAGAATAATTTAATAAAAGTAACTATTTGTCTATTAACTATTTATACATTAAAAGAATCTTTGATTTTTTTCTACAAGGTTGAAAAACTGGATGAAATGGTAACTGAATTGGCTGGCTTCAAAAAGTAAGTTAAATCTAAAATTTTCCTTTAGCCTATAATTTTGAACACACCAATATGTAGTAGTCATATAATACTGAAGTTGGTTTAATTTATTAAATGTATAGTATGAATAGCATTCCTGTTCTTAATTTATTCTTACCTTTCAAAACAATATCTGTAATTAATCTCTTGATATTTGCTTTTGTCTGTCTCCTATATTTTTACTACTAATTTGTTTGATTACTGCTGTCTGAAGGTCTCTCTCGAAGGAAGTGATCCATTTTTTTTTTTTTTTTTTTTTTATGGGTAAATCTATGGTTCACTAAAATTTGAGATCAGTTCACACTTTTATTTTTGGATTCATTTTTAACATAGAAAAAATATACTTATGATACTGATTTTTGCTTATCCATCAATTTTTTTTATTTTCATAAAATAACTTCAATAAGTATAACTGAAAAAGATATGAAATTTATTTGATAATTAAAAGTTATTGAATTATTGACATAAAAATGTATCCTTTTTTATTTGACAAATGCAGAGAAAGAGTAATATTACATTATTTTTTCCCCAAGAACTGTCATGGCAATTCACTGTTTAAAGATATTAAAGAAAAGTGAATTGTTTATAATTTTATGAAATCTTTAAATCAGCCATGCTGTTGTTTCCAAAAGCTTTGATATAAAATTTCATAAAGGGGACATGTTTAATTCATTTTTTTATTTTTTTTTTTTAAATGTTACTTTCTCTGTTATAGTAGTTTCTTTTACTTCCTGTATGTGTCAAGAGAAATTCTAGAGCTTCCAATTACTTCAGTTTGCACCAAGGGGTCAAAGACTTGTTTAATGGGTTTATACTATTGTTCATCTATAGAACACCTCCGAGCACTTTGATTGCATAAAAACCCGGAAGTTACCCACCGTACAAGTATTTGTAAATGGAGTAGACGCTGGTGAGCAAGGCTGTGTGTCGCTGCTGGAGGCAGGAAGAGGTGAGAGTGTTGACTGCCGACGGGAGGACCCTGAAGTGCCGTGGATACGGCAAAATTAAGTTAGGTGTCGAGCAGATTCAGCCCGTGACTGTTGAGGTTCTGGTCGTGGAAGGACAGTTGCTAGGGTTTGATCTTCTTCTCGGGATCGATGCAATCAAAGTGCTCGGAGGTGTTCACCTGACTGAATCAGACGAAGTGCGTTTTGGAAACCTGAACACGTGCCGCCATTCTTATCAACAAGCCTGACTTTAGAGTGACGTTTAACCCGAGCACGAAAACGTGGACTGCATTGTGGAAGTGGGCGAGTGGTCATTCACCTAGCAAGTTGGTCAATAAAGTACAGGAGTACACAGTACCTGACCACATTCGGGATGCATACGATAAAGAACTAGCACAGTGGCAGCGAGACGGATGGCTACTGCCATATCCCGAGAAAGAGCTTGGCCTACCCAAGGGGTTAATTCCCTTAATGGCGATCGTACAAGAACACAAACAGAAGGTCTGGCTGGTATTTGACTATCGGGAGTTGAATGACTTTGTAGACGCATTCACAGCTGACGCAGAGGTGTGTGCGCAGAAATTATGAGAATGGCGACAAGGGGCTGACGTAACACTGTTGGATTTGAGAAATGCATACCTGCAGATCCACATTGACAAATCGCTATGGCCTTTTCAAACAGTGGTCATTAAGGGTAAGCGGTTTTGGATTACGCGTTTGGATTTTGGCCTGAATGTGGCACCACTTGTCATGAAGTCTGTGATCAACACGATAACGTCCCAGGATCAGGACATTAAGAGTGCCAAGTCGGCATACGTCGACGATATGTTCATAAATGAAGGCCTAGTTTCTGCAGCATGTATAAGACAGCACTTTGCAGATTACGGGCTAGTCTGTAAAGATCCGGAGCGATTGAGAGATGGAACTAAGGTCCTGGGTCTGCAAGTCTGGGAAGAAAGCAACCCCCTTCGATGGAAGCGGGGAGGTCAGGTTCCAGAAATTGCTCAAATGGTGACCCACCGAAGCGTATTTTCCTTGTGTGGGAAACTCATGGGTCATTTCCCTGTGTGCGGTTGGCTTAGGGTGGCAACTGCATTTATTAAGCATCATGCAAGTATACTAACCAAAGGATGGGATGACGAGATAAAGGATGCCTCTCTTGGACGTATGCTGGAGGAAACAGTGGCCAGATTGTGGGAATCAGATCCTGTCGGTGGAGACTGGTGTGTGAACGGCAATGAAATGACAGTTTGGGTGGATGCAAGCTCTGTGGCTACGGGAGTAGCACTAGAGGTGAATGGGAGTGTCGTGGAAGATGCTTGCTGGTTACGTCCAACTAATGATGCCAGACACATTAATTTTGCTGAACTTGATGCGGTGATCAAGGGCGTGAATCTTGCCCTGCAGTGGCAGGCACCAGTTATGCATGTGGTCACCGATTCAGCATGTGTGCATCGGTGGGTGTCTGACACCCTGACAGGAAAGACGCACGTGAACATGAAGGCGGCGGGTGAAATGCTGATGAGGCGGTGCTTAGAGACACTGCAAGCTTTGGTGGAGGAGTACGCACTGACTGTGACGTTGGTAAAATCTTGTCAGAACCGCGCTGACAGCCTCACCAGAGTGCCGCAATGCTGGTTAGACATGCACAAGAAAGGAGGAGAACCGGTGCAAGTGAGTTGTGCCACTGCAACGAGCCAGTTGAACAAACGTCAGGTGACCCACATTCACCAGCAGAGTGGGCACCCGGGTGTTAAAAGAACAATATACTTTGCTAGGACTTTAGATCCAACGGTGTCTAAGCAACTGATAAAATCTGTTGTTAGAACCTGCGAAGCCTGCCAATCAATCGATCCAGCACCAGTGTATTGGAAAAAAGGAAATTTGAGTGTGAGAAGAAACTGGAGCAGGTTAGCAATGGATGTGACCCATTACAATGGTAGCCATTTTCTTACACTCATTGATTGTGGTCCCTCCCATTTTGCAGTATGGCGGCCACTGAGACAGCAAGACTCTGCTGGTGTCATTCGTCAGCTGGAGACAGTCTTCTATGAATGAGGCCCGCCGACTGAAATACTGACAATGACACCACGTTCACTTGCAGACAATTTAAGGAATTTGTAAGCAGCTGGGGCGTGCATTTAAGGTTCCGGTGCGCTTACGTGCCGTCTGGAAATGGCATTGTGGAACGCAACCATAGAAGCGTCAAAACCATAGCGGCCAGGAAAAATTGTTCAGTCTTGGAAGCGGTCTACTGGCATAACGTCATACCCAAGGACAACCTTTCACCTTCCATGGCACCAGCTGATATACTGCACACATACCATGTCTGGGTGAGAGGCATTGATGCGACGCCCCCGCCTGAATCACAAATAACCGAAGGGGAATACAAGAAAGGGGACATTGTTTGGGTTAAGACTCCACGTGGTAAATGCATGACCAAATTTGGAACCGGACGTGTGACCGAGGTGGTGAGTCAGCAGTCAGTGCGGGTCGATGGAACACCTCATCATGTTAGACCTGCGCCCTTTTTTTTTTTTTTTTTTTTTTTGGCTCAAATCCCACAACTGACGAAGAAGACATGGAGGATAGTGAACAGCCAATATACATAGTTGGATTCAGCAACCAATCACTCTGATATCAGTCGTTTGCCAATAGATCGGGACGTGTCTAATGAGAGCTCCTCCGATGAAGAAGCTCAACCAATCCCCCTTCGGAGGAGCACCCGAAACAAAAGACCGTATCCGCACTGTCATCTGTGAGATCAGGAGGGAGTGTGGCAGACATGAGACAGAACATGGGACAAGCACAACTGGTTGCGACTTGCCTTGTCCCCGCCAAAAAAGAGCCCGTATTTGCTTAGCATGTCAAGCTACTGCAGTTGAGGGAGAAAAAAGCACTTACCGCTCTGCCATAATCCGTCCTCGGCCAGATAGCGTAAAAAAATGAGGGGGGACTTTCATTGCATTTTTATGCAATAAAGATGCAATGCATTATGGGACAGGGACGCAATGAATTATGGGATCACATGAAGACGCAAGGGATCATGGGTATATGGACAAATATAAAAGCAACTACTTTTTCCCAGTGGGCAGAGTTCTTCGAGTGACGTTCACGGTTGGCAGCTAGAAAAGTCTGTTATTGCGATTTTGAGACAGAACTCAAGAAGGAACGACTCGAGGTTGGAATACCAGTTGGGAGAGCTTGAATTTACTCGCTGGTTGCTGTTTTCTTTATTCGCCACAAGAACATGGCTTGTTGTCGATCTCTTGTCAGCAACAAATCTTATGTCAATTACTCTTTATATACAGAAAGACTGAAAATTGTTCATATTAGAATAAACTTTTTCTGACATTGGAAATCTACCAGATAATGAATTGTACTTTTAGATCTATCTTCATTCATAGAAATACTGTTGCAAAATCAATTTTTTATTTTCTCATTTAATAAAATAGATCTGTAACAATGTAAACAATGAAAATAAACATGCACAAAATACAGGTTTATCATTTATAAACCACAAAATTAACAGTTCAATTTTTATATACAATAAATTACATTTTTTATTTGCAAGAAGATACAAAGCCAGTCCTCTCTGTCAGACACAAATGGCTTTGTATATTTAAGCAGCCTAAAATGTTGGATTACGTTTTTTTCTATAAGTTATAGATAGCATAGTGACTTTCAAGTTTATTTTGATGGAGAAAAAAATCAAACATCAATTCTCGGAAATATATGAAATATGGTTTTTATTCCATCTGCTTGTTACTTTTTTTCCTCCCTTCACTTACAGAAACTACTTAGTGTGTGGTCAGACATACAGTCGAAAGGTTGATGTGGACTCCTTAACAAGTCTTGCAAGTTTGGGAGCTACAGTTCATAAAGTAAGTTTAAAACCTTTTGTTTGAATGATTGCACATGTATTAAGAAAAGATAAAATATTGTACATTCTTATTCTGTTCTGATGATATTACAGATTAAACCTTTTTTTGGTTTTTATATTTTCTTTTTTCTAGATTTGTTCTGATATCCGTATTTTAGCTAACTTCAAGGAAATTGAAGAACCTTTTGAAAAAGATCAAATTGGTAAATTTTTATATGCTTTTTTCTTTATATTATTTAGTTATTACTGGATTTAACATCTTCCCTGGGACTGGGTACTATTTATTAACATGCAGAAAACATTTTAACTGTTTAATAGTTATTTGTTATCCTTGATAGCAATTTTTGATTTGTAACTCTGATCTTTTAGTCATTGTGTCTGTTTAAAAATTACTCCTAGAAAATTACAGAAATAATTGATAATGATAATTGATAGTGATGTGTCAATTTAAACTGAAGAATTTTTTCAACTTCAAAGGAATAACTTTTTCTCCTACTTTTTAAAAAATTTTTGTTTTTATTAGTAAAGAGTTAAAAAAATCTATCATACTGCATTGCCACATGTCTCAGTTGACTATTTTTATTTGAACCTTAGGGATATGAAATGACCTAAAAAATTAATTTCTATATGACCCATATAGAAATTAATTTTTTATTAAATGTTTTTCATTTTCCCTTCAAAATACTTATTTTTATTATATTTTTCAAGTTTTCTAAATCAACAATTTCTGTTACTTGAAAAATTGAATCTTCTGTTCAGATCACCTGAAGTTTATTTTGTCTTGATGTAGTTTTCAAAGTAATGCAAATATATTAAACATCACAGTACATAGTAGGATTTTAAAGTTATTTCCTACAAATTATTCTTTAAAAAATATTGTATATTGGTATTCTAGGTTCAAGTGCCATGCCATATAAACGTAATCCAATGCGAAGTGAGCGTTGTTGTGCTCTTGCTAGACATTTGATGGCATTATTGCCAGATGCTTTGATGACTGCTTCTGTTCAGTGGATGGAAAGAACACTGGATGATAGTGCAAACAGGTAACTTATTTTATTTTTGAGTGTCAACAAATGTATTTTAATAACCTTCATATTGAAATTATTTTTCTTGCCTTGTCTATATCTGTAAAATGACTGACATGAATAATGTAGATTTTGAATCGTTGAAGCTTCTTTTAAAAGTTCTTTCTAAATTTTGCTGCTGTTGACTTGAAAAGCATTCATTCATAAAATGAAATGATCTCAAACAGTTTTTTTTATTGAGATTTTCGTTATGTGAGACTTTGAGAGAATAGTTTGTAATTGTCATATGAGTAAGAGTGCAAAATGTTGATTGCATTATAGGGAAGTGTTGTGCAGTAAAATCTTAAAAATAGATAATGCCATGGATATTGCTATAAACACAGTGAACTTCATGGTTTGAACCACAGATAGTTCAACTACTTATTGGAGGCAAGTCAACATGGGCTGTCATTGATGCTTTCTAGTTAACTGGGGGAATTTTACTGAAGGAGCTTTATGAATTAAAATGTGAAATACTAATATAACAGGAAGGTCTTTCATGGCAAATATTACAGAAAATTTAAATTTACTTGAATATAAAAGCACCATGCTGTAATTAATTGATGACTGATAAGTTACTATTCTTGTTTGAGACAAAAGTTAACCTTTTTGAGTGTAGTCTATCAGATGATGATACTACACACTTTCCCTCTCTGCAAGACCTACAGGCATTTCATTAAAAGCACTGCATCAAGATTTTTAAGTTAATGAGTTCCAAGAAAGATTTTTCTTAAATTATTTGGGATCCATTTTTTTGTTAGTGCTAATCTGGTACCAGAATATTTCCAATTTGAATTATACTGGAGTTAATTCAATGTTGAGGAACAAGTTTTCGAATGTTGATGATGAAACATTTTGTCGATACCATGATTCAAATTATCTCCAGATTAAATCTTTGGTCTCAAAGAGTGTCAATGTTTGAAAGCACACCTGCTTGTAAACGAAAGAAGCAGATGGGGTGGGAGGAGAAAGGTACTTAATTAGCAAGTTTGTGTAAATGACTGTCAGAATGTATACAAAAAGAGATGGTAGAAGGTCAATAGTTATCGAGAGCAACAAGTTATGGAGATCCATGTTTGAGCACATTCTAAAAGGATATACATAAATGAAGCAACCTGCACAACACACTATCTTACAAATGTTATTAAGATATATTTCACTCATTTAATATCTAATGGAGTCTGTTATTGGCCAATCATGTTCCTATTTCTATATCACTCATACATTGTGATAATTTTGGGTCTAGGCTTTACTTACAATTTTTATTATTTTATTTCATTGAGGCTAATTCGCTCTTAATTTTATGCACTAAAGAAATGTATGAATTTTTTTTATTATAAAATAGTTAAAAGGAATAACAAGAAAAAAAAGAGCTGAATTAGAAAATTTTTTGGTAGATTTGGCAAAGATCTTTCATATTTAGTTGTCATTTCATTTATAGCTTCTTAGAATATATTTATATGATGTTAGATAAGCTATAAGTTGAATGATCTGTAAGTGATTTATCATACATTTCTATATTTTTGTTGCATAGGTAAAATGTAAATTTAATCTTCCAAGATTTCTATTGGGTACTTATGATGCAAATTTTAAAGGATGTTTATTAATTTTTACATATCATTGGAGACGAAGAGTTACATGCTAATAAGGCTGAAAACTGCGAAAAAATTAAGTAGAACATAAAAGTGTAAAATTTGGTACCAACTGATTTTTTTCTTTTCAAGTTTGGTTTTAAAGCTGACATCATCTTCCTTATATACAGGCGGCTGAGTCTTCCAGAGTCTTTTCTGACTGCAGATATCCTGTTGACTACCTTGCAGAATGTTTTCGAAGGACTTGTGGTTTACCCTGAGGTAAGTAGATCTGCTACTTTGTCAAAATGGTTTTACAAAAGTAAAAGAATATTCATCAAATTATTTTTAATTTGAAGGATAGATTTTTATTAAATATATAGAATAAAATGTATTTTTCATTTGTATAATTTTTGTGGAAAACTGACACAAATTTTACATATACCGCATAAAATTAGTTTTATGAGAAAACATCCATAATGTATTCCATTTCCAAAAAATAGAAAGAACTGTCATATGAAAAAAGTCCATATCATTGTATTTATTTAATAGTTTAAATGATTCTTATTCTTATATCACTCATTCAGTTTTCCATCTTCTGCTCTGAATAACTATCAGTCTTCTTTCTCTTAAATCCTTCAGATTATTGTATTTATCTGTCCTCAAAGATCCAATGATCATTCCTTTATAAAGAGATGTTCATTGAATCTTTTCTTGTATCTTAATGAGATGACATCAAAAGGGCTGTACATGAATGTATATTTATGAAGCTATCATTAATCTTAACTTTCTTTCAGCTCATCCAGCGAAGAATTCACCAAGAACTTCCTTTTATGGCCACAGAAAACATAATCATGGCTATGGTTAAAAGTGGTGCTAATCGTCAGGTGGGTTTTTTTTTCATCACATAGTCATAAATTAGTATACATACAACTTTGCATACTTGATGTTTAGGGTAAGTAATTCTTTAAAAAAATTGTTCTGATAAAAAGAAGAAAAATGCATTGTAGTTGGCTAGGTCTATTTGTTAAATTAAATTTTTAGTGGAAAAGTAAATTAAATGTTTTAAATCTGGGCAGATCCACCAAGTTTTTTTTTCTCTCATTGATAATGTGACATATATGACATATATAACAATAAATATTTATCATTTATAGACATGGTATTAAGATTGGACTTAAGAATAAATAAAAATTTTATCCATTGCATTATTTTATAAAAATAAGGTTGGCTATAATTTTAAAGACTTTTAAAAAATTGTATTCATATTTATTTTGTATTTCTTTCATTACTGTTGAAAAATCATTGATATCTATCTGTCTATCTATCCACACACAGATTAGTGGGGGGTGCTGAAAATTCTTGGCATGATTAGGAAACGATTTCCTCTCAATCTCTGAGGTTTGGTCAACATATGATAGAAATAGAAAATGTTTTTTATTTCATCATTTTCAGAAATACAACCTGGAATCTTTGCACTTTTTTCAAGCAGTACCAGTATAAAGGCAAAAAAGATAAACACTATATTTTCATGTTCCCATTACTTTTTTACCAATATTCATAAAATTTTAGCTGAATCTAGTCTTCTTTTTCTGTTATGTATTGTAAAACCTGCCTCTTCACTATTTTTATTTTAAGAGGTTTTTATGAGAGGGTACTGAAATGATTCTATCTTGACTCACTTCTTAAAAATCTGACTAAACATCAATTTTTTTTTTTTTTCATCCTTTCTTAATCAGACTACAAAAACATTTCACCATCATCCTTATGTATGTTAAAAATTACTGTGAATCATTTTTATTTATAATAAAATTTTACTGTCTTTTCAAAAATCTTGTATAAAAAAGCAAATTTTGTCTGAGATATGATTTCTGGTGTGCAAATGGCATAGCTATTGGTGTAGATGAAAATTAGCAAGCCAAGTTCAAATTCTACTAATGCCCTTGAAAAAGATATGACACTATTTTCTCTCTTTCTACTTATGGATAAAATAGTAAATTAAACTGGGTCCTTTAAACTTGATAAGGAAGTCAGTCTAGTAGAATAACAATAAATTACAAACAGCAGAGAAGACAACAAGAAAACAACTTTATTATTTTTCCCAAGAAGTTATAACAATTCATAGATATTAAATAGAAAGTTGTGGAAAGCCATGACTGCTGGCATCTTGAATGGATATGGTATTTAAAGAAAGAATGTTTTCTGATAATATAAAATTATATTATATAATCTAAAACCATTGTCTCAACTTTAGTAGTTAAAAGTCTCTTTTATGCCCCCACTTCTGAACTGATCAAACTTTTAGAACGTATTTGTAGAGTGCTTGAGTGACAGTTGCAATCTATCCATTTTCCCAAGCTTTGTATGAACCTTGTTTAAATTTGTTCACATGCATGCCATGTCTTGCTCATGGCCAGGTTAGTCCTTTTCATGAATGGGTTACCGGTGTTGTTTTTACGGACATTTCTCCATATGATATGGCTGACTGTCCTTTCTACGTGCCCATGTCATGGGACCACAAGGCATTTGGGTTGTGGTCCATTGCAGGGACGTCTTTGAGTACTTGTGCGGCATACCCTGTGTCTGTAAAGGTAGAGTTCAATGTGGTTGTGATGTTCTTGTACTATGACATGGGACCTGGTTTGGTGGTGGTTGATTTGTTGAGTGTTGGCTTTCATCAACCTTCATCATTGTGGGGATTCCCATCCTCTTTGAGCCATTTGTGTACTCTACTTTCATTTCCTCTGGTGCTGCAATACCTGGGGGTTTGGGCTAGTAGCATGTAGGTTGCCGTTCTGCACCAACAGGTGTGGTCCATTCGTTGGGTTGTTGATGTTAGGGTCCAGACCCTGTTGGGTCATTTGATGTATCCAGTATCTGGGGACAAGCTGTTGGGTAGTACTAGGTGTCCACAACTGGGCTTATCTTCCGGAGGAAGCAGTGGTCGCACTGGGTTACCCGGTTGCTCTTATCAATGCATATGCGGTATTGCCTAGTGCCTTCACAACTCTGTTTTCGTCTATTGGTGTGAATATGGGATGGCTTCTTGGCTCTGTATCTGAATCGATCAGCCAATCTCTAACTTCAAAAGTGAGCAACTGTGTGCATTATAACACTTTTCATTCTTTATATGCTTTTGGCCATCTCCCTATACCAACTGATCTCGCTCCACCGTTCATGAATTCAGTATTTATCCTGGAGAGTTAAGAGATGGTCCTTTATCACACGGCTCTACAGCATCATCGCCAGAGACATGTCCAGGTCTTGGATGGGGGTATTATGAGGTGTTAATAGGGATCTGGCTGTGCAGTCATGGTATAGGTGGCCATAGCTGTTGGTGCTGTCCGTTAATATTTGCTTGGCTGTTTTGAAGGCTAGTTCTATCTGTCCATTACTCTGAGGAGAGTACACTGATGATGTGCACTTTTTTATTCCATTCAAGGAATATATTATATTCCTTGGAATTGAATGGTAGTTCTCCATTGGATGATATTTCTTCTGGGGCACTGTATGTGCAGTACCAATTCCATATAGTGTCGAAAAAATCTGTCACTGTCTTTTGGAATGAGAATTTGGTATTTGATGGTAGCATTTCATTAATGCCCTGATGTATGGAATGGAATGACTAAAGTACTTCTTCTCATAGTTTTTTGGGTATGAGTGTCTTGTCCGTTATTGTCACTCGTTCCAGGCAGTATAATGCTTATCTCTGGTAGTTCATACTGAGACTTGGGGAATCCCTTCCATATGTGTTCCACCAGGAACTGACATTCCTTGTCCGCAGCTGCAGCGGCCACAATCCTGTCCCGCATGATTGCACTTAACTTTGGGTCTTGTTCATAGAATGGAATTAAATGCCTTTATAGCACTGTTGATCATCTGTGCTGAATCTTTACTAGTTGTACCATCTTGTCTTGGGAGGTCTAGTGTGGCATTGAGTTTGCCAAGGAGGTGCTTTGTACGGAACTTGTACATTAATGACTGTTACTTGAGGCTGAATAGTCACTGGTTTTTATGTCCTCCAGAGCCTTGTTCAAGAAAATTTTTATTAGGGGCCTGTGGTCCATCACATAAACATTTAACATGACTCTAATTTGTATACTAGAGCCAGTGCCTTCCCCATCACCAGTGCATAGCATGACTCAGCATCACTGGTGAATCAGGATGTGCCTAGAATGAGCTTCCAGTGGCCTTTAATGCAAATCGGTCCTGCTACGATGACACAATTACAGTGCTTCTGGAACAGAAAGTAACCTACTCTTGTTCTGCTAAAGTTTGTTGACACATGTGTTAGCCTATCAACTTCGAATGGCTTCACACCATTCTCAATTTCTCATGCAATCCTTTGTTTTCATTCTTTGAATATTTGGTCGAGTGTATTGTCTCAGCAGAATTTCTAGTCCTTTGTTTGTAGCAATTCTGGAAAGGGGCCATTATCACAGCTTGGGAGAATGTATATGAGACTTGGTTCACAAGTCGGAACCAGGATCTGATGTTGGTGATGTTTCTGGGGTGTAGGGAACATCAGGATTGCTTCCGTCATTATCTTATCCAGTTTTATCTTGTCCTCCATTACACAGAACCTGGTGAAATCCACCTCCTTTTCTACAAAGTGAAATTTCTCCAGCTTGAAGACAATGCCATTGTTGCTGCTTCTATGGAGTTATCCCAGAGTATGCTATCATCAATACATTGGGTTTTTTGAACCATATCGATGGTTATAGCATTGAATTGACGAGTATATGCATCCACCAATGTGTGGAACCCCTGTGGGAGCCTGAAGGTATTGATATTTGCCCCATTCAGTGATGAACGTAGTTGCATCACATGCAGCTGGGGAAGAGGAAAAGACTATGGCACCCATTCCATACTTTCAGGACAGTTTTCCTCATGTCAGCGCACATATGTTGAATGTGCTGGATCCAAAATGCTCCAGCATCCATTACTCCAGTCAGGTCTATTGCTCTCTGCAGGGGTAATTGGGATGTTTGCCAGCTTAGGTGGGAGAGCCATTCTTTGATGGCATCCACACAAGGTCTTTCCATTGTTGCTGCTTGCCACCTTCTGCTGTAATGTTAGGGTTGGAAGGTTGGGAGGTAGTAGACCTAGATCCTTCAAGGCAAATTTGGATAAGTAAAACCCGGATGTATTCTCTGACATATGGTTTGGCATGTTTCTTGTGAACCAACTCTGATATATGGGAATATTATGCCTTTTATGTGTAGCTGGTCCTCTGTGATGCCCAGGATTCAGTGATTAGTTGGCACTAGACATTTGTCTGAGCATCTAAGAATTTTCTGGAGCTCCAGTGTCAGTTACTGTGCTGATTTGTTGGGTGCGAAGGCTAGTCAGTCCCCTAGAGGCATACCTGAATTCATCATGAGCTTTCAGAATCATGGTTACTTCTATTGTCAAAGATGGTGGTTGATCTGAAGCCCCCACTTGGAACTTGCTTCCATTCCAAATGATATGAGGCATGGCCTTTGGTTGTGCTAGGTTGACTTTACCCCTCTGTTTACTTTGTCTAAATTAGCAGGCCAGCCTGCTGGGATCCTCCGTGTGCTCTTTGGTGGTGAGAATATGAGATTCTGGTTTTGTCGTGCTCATCATCGCTCTGTTAGTGGACCTCTTTTTAGCTCTCTGGCACCCCTCTCCATTTCTCCTTATTAATCCGCAATTAAAACATGCCAACTTGGTTGCCAGCAGCCTTTCTGATTCATGTCGTATTGCCTTCATTTATCCATTAGGGATGTGAAGTCCTTCCCCACCCTCTGCAGGGCTTGGTGTATTGTTTGACTTTCTGGGACTGTCATGTGTATAGTGCTGTGGAGATAATGGGTCGATTTGTCCATCATTACCTGTTGAATTTATGCTCCAGAATGGTGAGGGTAGTGGACTCTGTGGTGGAAGAGAAAGTGAATTGTCTGTACATGTGCTTGTAGACATCATAGACCTGTGAAGCGAACTCCGGCAAATCAATATTAAAGTGACACAGCGCATGCGTTATCAGCAAGAACAAGGCTAACACAAGTGAGAGATCTTGGTTTCTTGTCCGAGACCAAGGAAGGATAAAAAGAGATGACTTTTTGCTTTGGAGCAGTTTTGTTCTTTATTTATATCCTTGTTCCAGAGAAAGTGATACTTCTCTTGTTTATGGTGTGCAGGAAACAGTCCCGAGCAAAACGTTATCCCATTTCCATGTTAGCAGTCAGTGCAAACAGAATCGAGTGGATATTTAGTTTTCCTACCATCCAATTTTCGTTTAAATTACACAGGCTCCAGCCACTATTTTGCTCTGGTGTTTGACATTAGCAAGTCCTGCCACCATTTGTCCTGCTACCATGTCACTAGATGAGTTCACTTGCCAACTGCAGTTTGTTGCGTTTTGGCAAGTAATTATAAACTTGCAAAATTTGGCCCAGGCTCATAATTGAGCTCAAAAATGTGTGCATGACTCCCCCTCTTTCTGCCTCATACAGTGAAAGTTCTGTCTGTGCACTTCCTTGTGCACTTCCCAACAGCAACAAGCTGTATTTGCTGTAACAGCTGTTCTTCTGTGACAGAGTTGAATGTCTCTGTCCCCATTAGGTTGAATAGCAGCCAGCACACCTCTGGGGTACACGCCATCCTCGGCTCGTTCGGGATAATTGTTGGATCCATTAGTTTGCACATTTCTTTATAATGGGTTTATATGTCAATAAACATGGCCCAGCCGCTGTCTGTTGTGTCCAGTCCTATCATAGGTTGTTCTGGTTTTCTGACATGAAATGTCTTTGTTTTGCCATGCAGTCTTTTCTTTTGTAGTTCAAGTTGTTGCATAAGCTGCAAATATTGTTGGTCCATTGCTGGTTTTGTCTCCATGTTTCAAAGTTGTCAATTTGAATGTTGGTATTTTCAGTGATACCACATTGAGTGCTTTGAGTGATGGTTGCAATCTGTCCACTTTCCCAGTCTTCCTGCTAGCCTTGTTATATTTGTGTTGTTCATACATGTGCCATGTCTTGCAAGTGGCCAGATTAGTCTATTTCATTAACAGGTTACCAGTGTTGTTCTTACGGGCGTCCCTTCATATGATATGGCCACCTGTCCTACTTTACAAAAAAAAATAAAAGATTTAACCAAATAAGTAAATTAGAAAAATATAAAAGAAACATAAATTATCATGGTAATTGTTAATGAAAATATGTAGCCATTTCACATTCCCACAAACAAATTTTTGTATTTTCTTTATTTTTTATATTTCTTTATTTTTTATATTTCTTTTTCTTTCCTAATTTAGTTATTTCAGGATTTACAAATTATTTTTATGGCTTTCTGCTTTCAGGAGTGTCATGAACAGATCCGTGTATTGTCCCATAAGGCTGGTCATTGTGTCAAAATGGAGGGTAAAGATAATGACCTTGTAGAAAGGATTAAAGCCAACAGTTATTTTACACCAATCAAAGATCAGTTGGAGGATCTTTTGCGACCAGACACTTTCATTGGACGAGCTCCCAGTCAGGTTAGCAACCAGCTTTTAAACATTCTCTGATTCTGAAATCAGTTGTTAATCCAAATAATATGTTTGTTGGGTTTGTAAAATTTGTCTGCTATATATAGAGATTGGTCACATGATGTTAGGCAGTCTCTCATTGGTTGATAAAACCACGTGGGTTCAGAAAATGCTGACCACCACCAGAGAAGAGAACAAACTTGCTCCAAAGCAACACACAAGAATTTCTCTCTGCTGTAAATGGTACCAGTTGCTGAGGGTTTTAAAGGTACAAGCTACCTATCCCTATTTTACTCACCAGATGGGTAAATCCATGGTACCAGTTGCCAAGGGTTTTAAAGGTTCAAGTTATCTAGCCCTATTTCATTCCACCAGACGGGTAAGTCTGCCTAACATATTCTCTGTATATAGGAAAAGATATTATGTTTTAAAACCATTGTATTCATATTTACGTGTAAATAAATATCTTTATTACATCTTGATAAAGTATTCTTATTCATCTCAGTCGCAAAGTAAAATGGGACTAGCACAATATGTTAATTAAGTTCTATTATATGAACAAAATCCAGAGTTGGAAATTTGGCTATAAAAGTTTTTAATGATGCTTTGGTGTATTAATAATAATTTAATAGATGTGGTGGTGTTAGTTGTTCCCTCTTTCTAACCTTAGTATGTTTGCATTTGTATTCACTATTGTTGAAGATTATAGACAATTCTTTTACTTTCCAAAGAAGGAATGATACACGCATGAATGGATATATTTGATGGAATATTTTTTTTTATTGTTGGCACTTTTAAAAAAGTACAATTCTATTAACTTCATAGCAAGAAATTTCTTGAAATGTTCTCTTAAGCACTATTTGAGTTGATATTACATAGATGAAAGAGTATCTTAGTTTTAGTAAAACATCTCAACATCTACAGGTGATTGACTGAAAACAAAATGATCAAGGTTTTTATATTACATACCACTTTTGTATATACTAGATTGAGATTGAACAATTTTAAGAAGTATAATTGATTTTTTTACTCCATGTATTTTTGCAGGTAACCAAATTTATCAAATTGGAAGTCAACCCAGCACTTGAACCTTATACCTGTTCAATGGAAGGAAGTGTCACTTTGAATATCTAAATGCTTCAATATATTTTTCAATTCATTTATGGCATAGATTTCTATTTTTTTGTGTTTTTGTGTACCGAATTAAATACCAGCAACTTATAGTTTGAATAAAACAGATGAATACTTGTTAGCAAAAATTTGTTTGTTTTTTTCCCCAAAAACAAGTAGAAAATTTGGGCTGTTTCATTGGGGGAGGGAAAAATGTGACATCATCACATTGAGTCTGACTTTCAAGAAGTGTGTTGTTTGTTTTGTGTATCAGATTTTTTATGGTGGTATTTTTAAATTATTTATAAATATTTTCTTTTAAATATTGAACTAATTTAAAAAAAACAACAACAATGCCATATAGATGTGTTGTACCAAATTGCAAAGGGAATTATAAAAACGGCCCTAAAGTACATGTATTTTCTTTCCCTAAAGATAAAGAATTATCTCATGTTTGGATTCATACAATAAGAGATCATTTTTCACCTACTAAATTCAGCAGAGTGAGTATTTTTTGTATTAAAAAATAAGTAAATTTTATTGAAACTTTAATAATAAAATTAATACCATGTCTGTAATTCATAACATAAAGTTAAGACATAAATCTAGTGAGAAAGTTTAGACATTCATTATCGTAAGTGTTGTTTTTAAAAACTAAAACCTCATTTTTTTTAAAAAAATAAACTTTAAAGAAATTTTTGATGTAAAGTTTTTCATGAATTCATAAAGGAATATTTTATATGCATAAAAAATAATTCTAATTTAATGATTTTTTAGAATTGTTTTATTCGTAACTAAATGAAACTTTAATTGAATTAATTTCATGTCTGTAATTCACAACACATTTTAAAAGAAAGTTTTGTTTTAAAAAGTTATTAAACTCAATTGAAACTTTGAGGATTAAAGTAATTTCATATCTTTATAATTCACAAAACACATTAAAAAGAAAGTTGCGAAAGTTTTTAAAAGCTGAAATCTAATTTTTAAAGAAATTTTTTATATAAATTTTCGATATAAATTCATAAAGAAATCTTTTTATAGACATAAAAAATAATTCTAATAATTTAACAATTTTTAGAATTGTTTTATTCATAAAAATGTTTTTTTTTATTTATCATTTTAAATTAAAAAATGAATAAGCTTGTTGAATTCTCTCTTCATTTTTCCTAAAATTGTTAGAAAAATGCTTCATATTGTAGATTTTTGCTGATTGATTTTCTTAGATTTTCACAAGAATTTAAAATAGGTTTAATTTTTAAACTCTTTTAGGTATGTGAACTACATTTTTGACTGGAGGACATAAGGAGAGGATCATCAGCTTTTGACGAAAAAACGGGTGACACAATTGCAGTTAAACTAAAAAAATATATCTTTGTGATGGTGCTATTCCTAAAATTTTCCCAAACTGTCCCTCATATTTATCTTCATTGACTACTTCTAGAGAGTTACCAGATTCCAGGAGAATTCGACTAGAGAATTCTGCTCTTAAGAGTGCTTTAAATCAAAGTATTACTAATGACTTAGCATATAAAATGCAGAAGAAATTCCATACTATTAATGGTCTAGAACAAGAGACACTTATTATATTCAGCATCATCAAATCCCCATATCCAAAAATCAATCTGTCTCTTGTAATTGAATCCAATTTTGCAGTGAGTACATGTGTTTTGTAGAGATGTGGAAATGCATTAAATAGGGGACTATAAGATTCCTAAATATGTAACTGATCAAAATACTCTTGAAATTCTGATAGAAAACATGAAGAAAATGGACACAGAACAACAGCAAACTGAACCTCAAAATATGATTTTTATATTAAAATTGGTAATGTCATTTCTACTATTGGTGCAAGAAGAATCAAACAACATTTTAATGCAATCAAATTTATATATGAACAGCTAAACTTAATGACACAGAATAAGTTTGATTATTCAACAGAAATGACATTTTCTTCATTGTTATATAACTGCTCCCCTAAAGATTAAGAGACAGCAAAAATATAATTTTACCTAGCTATTCAAACATTAAAAGACTAACCTTATCAACATATATGAATCCTTTGATTGAGCAACATTATAACAATTTTCTTATGTATATTAAAAATAAATTTAAGCTACGAGTGCAAAAGGACATCACAGTATCTTTGATGAAATTCATCTAAAACCTTATTTTGACTATAAGGGTGGTAATATTGTTGGCTTATCTGAAAACAGCAGTGAAGCTGCAACAAGTGCTTTTGCTTTCATGCTTAGTGTATTCTCACAATATAAAGATGTGCATGTTATGCCAACTAAACATCTTAAAGCTGAGAAGTTATTTGACATAGTTAAATGTATAATAATTAGTTTAGAAGTGATAGGCTTTCAAGTATCAATCATAACAGATAATAATGTTACAAATAAAAAAGCTATATCTTTCTTTTGCAGTCCTCCAAAGCTTTCCATTGTATATCCACACCCAGTTATAAAGTCTCAACCCCTTTTCTTCCTTTTTGACTGAGTCTATATATTAAAATGCATTAGAAAAAATTGACTTGGTCAAAAGGATGCAAATAAATGCATGCTGTTCTCCAAATTTTGTCATAATGGAAATCATGAATTAGATAATATCCAAAGTGCCCCATTTTCTACCTTACAGAAACTTCATGCCTTAGAATCTCAGTCAGTTTTGAAATATTGTTTGAAATTAACCTCAAAGGCACTTTTTCCTACTAATCTTGAAAGGCAAAATGTTAATTTAGTTCTGCAAATTTTTAATGAATACACTATTCGAGGATTATTTAGAACAGAAATATTTCTTATTTTGCAGAAGTTGCAAAATATATAAACATATTTTATATTTGGTGAACTATAATGAATGTAAAAACGCCATATAAAGGTGGATGCTGCAATCCACTTTGAATGAAGAAAATTTTAGATTTCTCTCTGTCTTCTGTGAATCTTGGAATAGCATTTCTGGAAGAAATGGCAAATTAACAAAGGAAACCTTTACTGCTTTGCATCATACAACCTAGGCATTTCTAGAACTGTCCAAGTATTGCATAGAACTGAAAATGCTATACATATTACCAGGAAAATATCAAACTGATCACCTTGAAGCAAGGTTTGGTCAATACTGGCAGCTTAGTGGGGATCAGAATAATATCTTAATATGGCAAGTGTTTGAGTGTGAAAAAAAATTAGAATGCAATCAGTTTTAAAATTGAGCTTACCATTTAATCAACAATGAATTAAAATTGATTTAAAGAGTTTACAAGAACCAAACTGGGATGAAGTGACAAAGGAGGAAAAGTTAGCTATGTATAAATATAGAATTGATGTTAAAGAGGATGATGTTAATAATTGTAGAAAAGTTCTACCTGTAATACAGTACTTAGCAGGTTATTGCTGTAATGCAGTTTTTAAGAAAATTAAATGCAATAGTTGCAAAGATTTAATATCTGGAAGTGTAAGAGTAATGTGAAAGAAATACAGCTATTTTCAGGGGATTAATAGCAATTCTCTCTTATATCCTAATGATAAAACTATAAATTTTGTTCTGTATAATTATATAGTCATTGATAAGCTGATAAAAAAATCATTCTTTTCTTCATTCAGTAAATCAAAGGAAGTTAGCCATGCATATAATATTGAATGTTTTTACAGATTATGAGCTTCTTTGTGATGATGGTCACAATATAGAAAAAATATGAAAGTGTGTTTGTCTGGAGCTCTACAAATGCTCTTTTAAATAATTTTTGTTCGTAGGAAAATAATATTGCAAGTAACAAGTTAAGCAAAAAAAGAAAACTTCAAACATTCAGGTAAATTTTGTATCAGTAACCTATTTAACTGAAAGTATTATTTGAAATCTATTCATTATTTGTATCTAATTTATTTACTTGTTTGTATTTCATTTATTTGTTTCTTATTTATATTTAATTGTTTTATTTATTCATCATAATTATTTTATTTATTCATCATTTACTTATAATTTATTCATCATTTACTTATAATTTATTTATTTAATTATTGTTTGTTCCCTAATTCATAATTCAATTGTTACTGTATTTGAGTAATAATCTCTTATTGATTACAAAAATTGTAACTTTACAAAATAATTATTAAATTGAAATAAAAACATGCAAATTAAAACAATACTGATTATGATTAAAAAAATGTTTATAAATTTGAAACAAATACAATAATGAACAAATTTCACTCTTTAAAATTTAATGAAATGTTACATGATGTTTAATTTCTTCACTTTAAGAAAGCATTCAGCAACAACATTTTTTTTTTCTTATTGGTTATTTTAAAAAAAATTAATATGAAATAAAGTTCTGTATAAAATCCAATTCTCTTTCTTTTATAAATGTATTTTTAAAAAGTTTTCTAAAACCATGTTTTTTTTTTTTTTTTTTTTACAATTATGATTACTGCCTGTTTCACTGCATGGACTATTTTTGTGACGTCATGTCACTATCAAGCAGGCCTTCTCTTTTGGTGGCCGCGGCTCTACTGCCTACTAAAATTGCTTTAAGAAATGCTTTACATGGAAAATGATGAACAAAATCAAAATTTATTATTTCAAGACTTCTATATTTGTTTTCCACTTGTTGTAAAATGCAATATTTGTTCAGTATTTATCCCAATCTGATTAAAAAGATTTTTTGCATTCATGGTTTTGAGTGACAATATCTTTTCCATTTACAAGATGATAGAACATTTTTATAAGATTAGAATAAAAGCTACCTTGTTTAGTTCTTTGTGCGGAGCCAAATGGTGTAGAGATATGTTTTGGTATATTATTATAGCTTAACTTTTGAACAAATATTTGTGTGAATTTTCCCTGTTTATTATTTTCCATGTCAGTGAAGTTGATAAACTGCTGTTCTTTTCTGGAACTGACTTCCAATAGTTTCGTTGCCTGATTACTACAATCTTAACTTGTTCAAGTCTAGGGTTAACCATTATTTTCCTACATATCCGCATAAACTATGCCTCTTCC